AGAGAGAGAGAGAGAGAGAGAGAGAGAGAGAGAGAGAGAGACACCCCCCTTCTCTCTCTGAAAAAATTAAAACAACATAAACCAAACAATAATTTAATGATAAGGTGGTGAAGAAATGTCTATATGCGTGTTGTATTATTATCCTACAGTGGGATCCATACTGACATCGGCACAATTTAGATCACAAAAAACAACAAATATGTGCACAAACACACATACGCGCGCGCGTGCGCGCGCGCACACACACACACACACACACACACACACACACACACACACACACACACACACACGCGCAGACAAACAGACAGACAGACACACGCACACACACATAAACACAAACACACACGCAGACAAACACACACACAGAATGCACTCACACATTGGTAATTTGTCATTCTATAACACGTGCAATCGCAGTCACGCAAACATATACACACGCTCCCATCCTCTCACCCACGAGCTCACACACTCACCCTTGCTCGTATCGCACACGAACGAGTAGACAACCACGCACATACACAAAAACACACATACACACAGACCCTGTCACCACACTATCACATGCCATACATACAGATGCACAGAAACAGACACACGCACACACACCCAGACTCACGAATACGCTTATCCTTATCCATACGAAAAATCAGGTATAGAACTTAATCATAATAACTAGCACGCTTATAAAAACAACTACACAAACATAAACACTCAGACAATTCCATGCACGCTCCCTCCCCTATTTCTCAACACCCCCCCCCCCTTTCGCATTATACTTATGCTTACTGCCTGCCGAATTCATGTGACTGAATCGGAGCCAGCCAAATTTCCCTCCACGGAGGGGCAAAAGCTACCATTTGGCACAGCTCGACCGAATTCGACAAATTTCGACAGTAACTTTCAAAATTGAATTAAATTTATTAAATGCTTTTTCAAGATCGCAAGACACTGTTGTCAAAATGGCAGATTTTGTCGTAGAATTGGTCCCTTCATGGAGCAAAATCTAGCTGGTTCCGACTAAGTCCCCTTGATTCCGTTTGGCAGTGTGCTCTGGGAATTTAACACACCGACTTACCGTATTTGGTGATAGTCTCAGTGAGTGTGAGGAAGAAAAGGGAGACAACCAAGTTACAGATCCAGTTGAAACCTGTGGCGATGGAGTTGCAGGTACTGCGAGCCCACAGAGGATAGATCTCGGAGTTGATGGTCCACGGCATAGGGCCCAGGCCTGCAGGTAGATCAAATGTGTGGCATCTTGGTGAATCAGGAGTTCATCAAAATAATGAAATTGAAAAAAAACCCTGGCATTTTTCTGCCCATATGCCAATTTTTATCTATTTAATTTCGGTTCAACGCCTTTCTTGTCCATATTAAAACATATTTCTGTGTGGAGTTTTACTGAAAAACGTGATCAAAGGCACAAAAAAGTAAATTTGCTGTTTAAAAGGACCCTCAAGGCTTTGGAAGTCACCTAACGTTGGCGGTCAATTTTTGCTTATTTTGCCTGTGACACAAGAGGGACCCCACCCCCTTCAATCGCAGATTTTCGACTTTTATTCAAGTTAGGGCTGCTTTCAGAATATGTTTCCAGTTCAATCAGGACGTTCGATATGCCCATGGTAAGAGTCAACTATCTCCTACTAATAATACAATAGCTCTAATTCAGCCCAGATGTCGTTCTGATGGTGCGCCTCGATCTTAATGATTGAATGCATGCCAGTCGATGTCAATATCTGTAACATATGCAGTTCAGCAAACAGGAAACCTGTCGAGACACTAGCCAGAATCTGGAAATTTTTCTCATGTGACACCTTTGTGATGTGCAGGATTTGATAAAGTGACAGATCTAAATCATTATTATCTTGAAACTTGTGTTTCACGGACAGTTTGGGGCGTTATACTATAACGTTAAAAAATAATTCAAACAAGATAAGGATAAACAAGAGGAGAGTCAGAAAACACTCGCTGGTGGAACAGTAGCCTGCAGCTCTGGCTCTTAAAAAGAAGAAGAAGAAGAAGAAGAAGAAGAAGAAGAAGAAGAAGAAGAAGAAGAAGAAGAAGAAGA